TATTCTTGTTTGCATCATCTAGCAGCTGCTGGATTGATTTCTCATAGTCCTTTACTATTTTTAAGAAAAATTTTCTTTCCTTGGTCGTTAATTGCAATCCTGTCTTCTATATCTAATATGCTGTCTTCACCTTGTCTCATTCTGCCATGTAAACTTTCAGTGGAGTTTTTAATCTCCTGGATATCTATTTTCATCTGTTTTATGGATTCCATTTGTTTTCTATGCTGGGATTCCATGATGTTCCTCAGCTCCTCTATGTACTAAATTTTGAAGTTGGGAAGTATGAATTCTTGAACTTTGTTCTTCTCTTTCAAGCTTGTTTTGTGTGTTCTGGAGCCCTTGCTGTGAGATAAATACTTTAGGATCAGCCTGTCATTTTTTGCGGAAGAGCTACCTGGGGTTTTGATAGAAATTGCATTGAGTCTGTAAATCAGTTTGTGAAGTATTTTCATCTTAGTATTAATTCTTCTAGACAGTGAACCCAGATGAGATGGAATGGGCTGCCTTTCTAGTCTGTATTTGTTTTAAATGAAGAATTAAAACAGTATCTATAAAAACAAAGAGTTAATACTATCTATAGGTTCATATAGCACTAAGTATTGTGAATATTTTAGGTAAGCTATTTATTGGAATTAAATTTAGCAGACATTGTGCTACCACTTTATACCAGGTACAATATTAAGCTTATCTCTGGAGATAATAGGGAAAATGAGATATCATAGCTGTTAAAACTTCTGGTCTAGTGAAAGGATCAGACTTACAAAATTAAAAATTTCATTGTAGTGTATTAGTTGCAGAGATTAAGATTTCTTGTAAATTGTTAGCCTATTCTCCATTGTGTAAAGTTTCTGCTAAATAAAAGATGATTACAAAGTGCTTATTAGCACAACTTGTTTTAGTGTTGTATAATTATAATGTCTTGTAGAGTTAAAAATAAGGGCCTTTAAAACTTTAACTTGGATTATTATCAGTAATAAATTTTTAAAGTATTTTTAAGATTTATGAATTAATAATTTAAAAAACTTAGAATCAGTATGCCTAAAATATTACAGGGAATAAGTAGCATTCAAGCAAAGCAAAAACATTTTAATTTCTTTTGTTCTCTGAATTTACTTACCTCTTAATATCTTTTTTTTTTTTTTTTTTTTTTTTTTGGTACCAGGGATAGAAGTTGGGATTAACAATTCCTTTTTTGCCTAATCAGGTGAACAGTTTCCTTAATGGCTTATTCTTTCTCCTTTGTCTATGAGTTTAGCACTAAAGATCTTTAACACTGACTTATGCGTGGCTCCATTTGGCAGTTATGGTTAGCATGTAGGTAGCTGTTTGGAATAATATTTTTAAAGGTATGTAGTAGGACATACAGGATTAAAAGGATAAGCAATTTGTGATAGTGAATCCATATATTTCCATGGTAATACTAAAAAATTTAAGTAAATTCTGTTTAGAGATATTTGCGGAAACCTATTAATGTGTTAAGAAATAAACCGATTTTCAGATTTTGCTAATGCAACTGTGGTTTATTTCTTATATTCCTAACAGAAGGAAAAGCTGAGTTTAAGCATTTTCCCCTCTTATCTAAGTTGATGGATCTCCTATTACTCAACTGTTTAATCATTCAGCTAAAAAGTGTTCATTAATACAGCATTTTTTACTACAGTCTGTATTAACACATTAGTAGAAAGATACAAGACAGCATTTTTCATCTTTAATGTTTGTGCACCAAAACATAGACACATAAATGAACAAATCCTGAAACATAGTATGTATACAAAAGTGCTTTCAAGAGATTATATAGAAATGAAAAGGGTAGTGAGACTCATCATTCAACTTGGTATTTATAAATCTAAAAATAAACAAAAATTTTTGCAGTTGTGGAGCCAAAGATGGTTTTTTCAATATTGAACCAGAAAAAATTTCATATTGTATTTTGAAAATTTAAGTGTAAGAAGAACCAGAATAATAGTCTAGATCGTTAGAAATATATTTTAAATCAGAATTCAAGTATTGCTTTTTGATATTAAAATATAAGAAAAAAACCTAGAAGTAATGATAAAGTAGATTGTTTTTTATGTGAAATCTAGAATCAATATTTAAAAGATAGGCAAGTTTGTTTTAGTTTCATACATGACAGTTGATAAGCAGTTAATTACATTTAACAGTGTTCACTATTTTGGTGTGTATTTTCAAAACCATAAAATTTAAATGTATAAAACATAATATAGAGAGCTGGAAGCAGTGGTGGACACCTGCAATCCCCATAGTTTGGGAGGCTGAGAAGAAAGGATTGTTAAGTTTGAGGCCATTGTGGGCCACTTAGACCTCATTTCAAAAGAAAGCGAAAAAAGGCCTATCTCTGAGCTAAATCCTGCCCTAGTAACTCCAAATACATAAATGTACACAAACAAATAAAAGGTGTCTGTGGACACCGATACTAAATAGTGGTAACTAGTTTTTCTGGTACCTACTTGAGAATTAATTCTCATGAAAATTTTATAAAATAATAAAGTAGATCAAAGATTTGACGATCTAAGATTATCTGACCAGATTTGAGATTTGAATCTAGGTCTGTGGTTTGATAGATGATCTCTTTATTATGCCAAATGATCCTCTAAATGTTGAAGTATGTTTTTGCATTGCATTACTCAGGGCATACCTTATGGACCTCTTGCCTTAGAAGGGTAAGAAATGGTATCAGTATAACTCAGGTAAATGTTGAAATTATACAATCTCCTAAATCATGTGGAACAAGTGGCCTAATTTAGGACACAGACATGTTTCAAGAGCGCAGATGTGGGGCTCTGAGTTCAGTCCCCAGTACTCCCTCTCAAGTTCTTTGTTAAAATAAAATATATTCAAATAATTAATGAACAGATAGAGAATTTCAGTAGAGAGATGGAAAAGTGTGAATATAGAGCTGAGAGTATAGTAATTAAATGAAAATTTCACTGAATGGCATAGTGGAGATAGAAATTTTTATACTGCTACAAACATCACAATAAAATGGCATTAGAATAAAGATATATAGTGGATCCGTCAGAGCCGGACATGGTGGCACACACCTGTAATCCCAGCTAGTGGAGATAGAAATTTTTATACTGCTACAAACATCACAATAAAATGGCATTAGAATAAAGATATATAGTGGATCCGTCAGAGCCGGACATGGTGGCACACCTCTGTAATCCCAGCCAGCACTTGGGAGGCTGAGGCAAGAGGATCGCTGTGAGTTCGAGACCAGCCTGGGCTACATAGTGAGTTCCAGATCAGTCTCAACTACATAGTTGAAACCCTGTCTCAACGCTGCCCCCCCAAAAAAAAGAATTAGTGTTTAGTAGAATATATTTGGTTGATTTAATTTGGCCATGGCAGTTCTTGAACTCCAGATTTTTAGCTTATGATTTTTAAATTGGTACATATTAGTTTTACAGAATAATAGGTTTCATTTTGGCATATCTGTACACAAATATAACATTTTGTCATTTCCACACCCCAGCTCCTCCCTCTCCCCTTCCTCCTCTCTAATTCCCTTCCTCTTTTCTGAGTCCTACTTCTCTCTATCTTGCTGTCTGTCTGTCTTTCTCTGTCACACACATACAGGTTACATATATGAGAGAAAAGGAGATATTTGAGTCTAGCTTATTTTGCTTAAAATGATGATCTCTAATTCTATTCATTTTCTTGCAAATGACATGATTTTGTCCTTCTTTGTTGCTGAATAATACTCTATTGTGTATATGTGACACATTTTCTTTTTTTTTGTGGGGGAGGTACTGGTGATTGAACTGGGGACCTTGCGCTTGCGAGGTAGGTGGCGGAACCACTGAGCTAAATCCTTGGGCCATGACACATTCTCTTTATCTTTTCTTCCATTGGTGGGCAGCTAGAGTATTTCCATGGCTTAGCCATTATGAATTGTACCACAGTAAACATGAGTATGCAGGTAGCTCTGTGGTGTGTTGATTTTACTTTGAGAAGTAATATAGCTGGGTAATGGTAGTTTTATTTTTATTTCATACTGATATCCATAATGGCTGTACTAATTCATATTTATACTAACAAGTGTATGAGAGTTCCTTTTTCTTCTTGCATTCTTGTTAGCATTCATTCATTTCAAGATTGGTTATTGAACTCAGGGTCTTTGCACTGAACTTCATTTGCAGCCCTTTTTTATTTTGAGACAGGGTCTTGCTAAGATGCTCAGGCTGGACTTGAACTTGAAATTCTCCTGCTTCAGCTTCCCACTGTGCTGGGATTACAGCCATGTACCACCACACTTGGCTTTTTTTTTTTTTCCCCCCAATCTTGTTAATCACCCCGTTCTGACCGGGGTAGTACAGAATCTCTACATAGTCTTGATTTTCATTTCCTTGGTGGCTAAAGATGTTTAACATTTTTTTTTTTTATGTGCTTACTGCCCATGTGTACTTCTGAGAGATGTATTGTTCAATTACCTACCCATTTATTGATTGGGCTATTTGTTATGGTGTGAAGTTTTGCATTTGTTTATGTATTCTGTATATTAATTCTTGTTGAATGAGTAGCTAGCAAAGATGTTCTCCCATCTGGCAGGCTTTTGTCTCACTCTTGTTTCCTTTGCTGTGCAGAAGCTTTTTAATTTGATGCAGTTCTAGTTGATTCTTGCTATTGTTTCCTGTTTTTTCCCCAGTAATTCAGTTATAAAATAGATCTTTTTATTTTTACATTAACTTTACTTTTCTAGGTTCAAAATCAGCATTTCTTTTCATGCTACTTTCCCATTGTTTGCTGCTTTTCCATTCTACTTGTAAAATGTTTACTTTTTGTTTGTTTGTTGTTTTTGGTCCAGGAATTGAATTCAGGACCTTACACTTTTGAAACAGGTAGTGGAACCATTGAGCTAATCGCTGGCCTACAAAATGTTCACTTTTAAGCAAGAAATTATTTGAAAAAACTCTTCTAATGTTATAAGGTTACTATAATATGTTGTTAATATTATTAATTTATTTTTTTACCTTTAGGGATCCTATTGGGCAATAGACACCAATCCGAAAGAAGATGCATTGCCTACTCGGCCAAAGAAGAGGGCACGATCTGTAGAGCGGGTAAAACCTCTTTGCCATAAATATCATCTAACAGGTTGAGTATGTCAGAAATGCAGATTTTGAAAGTTCATTTCCCATTTAACAAACAACCATAAGAATGGTAAAATTATATTTGGATAGCATTTTCTATTTTTTCAGGGATCTTTCAGACCCATTTTTTATGTGACCTTAACTCTGAGATGTGAATTAAATAAAAGGTTTTGTCATAATTAGAGCACAGCTATTGTCTGAGATTCGTTTCTAGCTCTCTTTGAGTTTTAATTTGATATTCTTTTTTTCTGTACCCACAATTTTGAGGACTCATTTCATATTGCAATTGCTTCCCACCACTGCAGATGATCTTTCTTGAGCTTTGATTGTTTCTCATTGTCCTCCAAATGCTTTTCTCTACTTTTATTCATGTAACAGTTTGTATATAAAATCTGTGTGTAGGGGGTAGGAGTAAGATAGTTCTTCCTTGTAAATTCATGGTTAAAATTAATTTTCAAGAATGAAAGTGAAAAGGATCTCTTGTTGATACATTCAGTTATATATTGTAACATTTTAAGCTAGCACACAAATTCAGCTACCATAAGACCTTAACTTTACTCTTCAGCTTCCTCCCTTTTCTGTAATTCCAGCATCTCAACTAAAATAAATACACCCTGCCCTGATGTTCTCCAAGACCTATTTCAAAGTTTTACTGCTTTGTGAAGTCTGTTCATCTTTTCAGTTGTGTTTTTGTAGAAATCTTAGGGATTTTTAAATAGAATTTTTCACACTTTATGAAATATTTATCTTTTCTACTGGGTCGGTCTCTCCTTAAGGGCTGAAAAAAATAACTTTTATCTCCACTGTTAGTTTTTTTCACAGTTTATAAGAGGTACCAGAAAATGCAGAGTAAATTGGAAAAGAGAATAGGATAAGAAGAAGGGAACTAAATAAACACTTAGTCAAGTAAGTTTGATCTACAATTGTTCCCAGTAAAGTGATGAAATTTATGAGCCTGAAAGATACGAACCTCAGACTGGGCTTAAGTTAGGATTGTGTGAGCCAGTGTAGTAATCAGCACTGGGGTCTTAAACAGCTTTCTTAGAGCCAGCAGAGGGAGTTTAGTTAGCCATTTATCAGGCTATATAAAATGAAAGGATAGCATTGGCTTTACACAATGAAAGTTTAAGAAATTAAATTGATGGCATAGTCTTCTGGTAATAGATCTAGATACTTTTAAGATGGAGATGGTGATGTGCTCAGTACCTAACAGAGTGAAAGAGAGGGTACATCTGAATGTCTGTTCTCTTGCCTCTGGCTGTTTTGTTTTGTTTTGTTTTGTTTTTTTTGAGACAGAGTCTCACTATGTAGTTGAGACTGCCCTGGAACTCACTGTGTAGCCCAGGCTGGTCTCGAACTCACAGCGATCCTCCTGCCTCAGCTACCCTGAGTGCTGGAATTACAGGTATGCACCACCACACCTGGCTTTGCCAGTGGCTTTTTAAACAAAATTAGCACTTGGAGTTTGTGTGGAAATGTGGAATACAAAACATTTAGCCTACTGCAAGAATTTGAAGGAGTGGGAGAAAAAGCCCCAATGTTAACCCATAGCATTTTTAAGCAACTTGGATGTGTAGGTTGAAGGCCTAAGTAATTGTGCTCTTCCGAAGTTCCTGGAACTTGAATTATTTTTGGAAGTTGGAATTAATAGTTGGGTTGACAACTACATTCTTTTTGGATTTTAAGCCTGTATTTAGTCCCTTAGTCTTGTTTCAGAGACCTTAGAGCAATCTTCATTTATTTCTGAGAGCCCCCTCCCCTTTTTTTGATACTATGGTCAGTTTTATAGAAGTCTACAGAAATACAGGATTCAGGTTACAGAAGTATGTGTCTTGAATAATATACATTTCGAACATATATTTGATATATTTGTTTTCAGTGCTGACCTTTTAATCTTCATTTTAAGTTTGAAATGTAAAAGTTTCAAAAAATTAATGCTATAGCATAGTTCTACAAAATATACATACCGTGTAAGACACTTTCAGTAGTAATGATATTTTTATGGGCCCAAGCTGTGTTGTTGGTTGTGTTACTATAGGAGAGAACCCAAAGAAAGAGATCAGCTGTGAGCAAAATATTTATTAGTAATGAGACAGATAATATTTAACAAATATTCTGGAAAATAGTGTTCTTATAAAAATTAATTTCCTACCCTGATAAAATTAGTGCATCTGCTTTTCATCAAGAGATGGGGGGAAGTTATGCAGTATTTTAAAATTATTAGGTCAGAGTGTATATTTTAAGGAACTACTGGGTTTTATCTAAGGAAACACCTACTGTAGTCAAATTGTGATAGTTCTGAACATAATCTTCAGATACTTAGTTTTCTCTAAAACTAAACAAGACCTGTAAGTTGAAAACTTTCAAAGGATAAAAGGACTTTTAAATGTAGATGATAAATACATTGACAATCTGAAAGTTCTTTACTAAATTTCTGTCTCTTATGATTCCTTTGTCTACGTGCAATTAGAATTGTATGTAAAAAAATCATCTTACGCATTTTTAATTTTGGAAATAAGCAATATATAACACAAAATGCTTTGTGTACTGCTAGAGAAATTATTTTTAAAATGTAAGCAACAATATCTTTCTTAAAATGGAAAACAAACCCTATAGCATCTGGTAATTATATCTACATCTTGTTTGTTTGTTTGTGGTACTGGGGCTCAAACCCAGGGTCACTCTGTCACTGAACCACATTAACCCTTTTTTATGTTGGGACTGGGTCTCATCTAGTGTCTTAGGCAGGACTCAAACTTGAGATCTCCTGTGTTAGCCTCCTGAAGTGCTGGGTTTACAGGTGTGCATCAACATGCTCAGCCAGTCTGATTAGAAGAGGTCTTCCCTGACTTCCCCCTCATTTGTATGATCATAAATCTGTGCACTCTAATCTGTTGTAATACTCCTTTCTTTTTTTCATTCTTGAATATATCGTTGTTTCTCTTCCTTTTTCTAATTTCGTTCATCATCTCCCTCCAATCAGAAATGATCCTAAAGACCTTATAAAAACTGAATAAGATTTCAGTATTTTTCATAATATTGAATAAAATGGTCAGATGATGGACTTTTATCAGAAGGCTTGTGTTTCTCTTCTGGCTTAAGTAAAATTGTAATAGCTTAATGATAGTTGTATTGAATTTATGTATCAGTTGCTTTTTAATGAATATTAACTCAGGATTTTTCAAGTAACTCATTGATGAAGTTGATGGACATGAATGTTAAGTAAGTTGTCTCGTAGTACTAAATACCAAAGGCAAGATTAAAACTCAAGTAGTTTGCCTTTCAAAGTCTGTGTTATTTACAGCTGTACTCTTGACACTAGTATTTACTATGCTGAAAACCACAACAGTTAATCACATTCCTTTTATATATGCATGTTCTGTAGAGAATTCCCTGAATATAATATAAATACAATCAAGTAACAGAAATGTGATTATAAATGACAGAGCAAGTACTAAATAATTGTTACACCAAGTAGTGATAAAACTAACGTGACTCAGAATAGATTATGCTGTGTGGGTACACCTCTAGGAAGAGATATGAGACTTCAGATTTTGTTGTAGAAGTGTACATGTGGAGAAAACAATGTGCATGATTGACTTGTAAGGAAGAAGTACAGACAATAAGTATAATTAAGAATGCTTGTGACTCTAATGAAAACCTTAGGCTAGGCTACAGATATTTAGAGGAGTAGAAAGATTTAGGCATAAAAAAGTACAGGATCAAGGACATTGCTTTGTTTGATGGACTGTAGTATTGAGAAATGAATAAAAAATAGTTTTGAAAAGATACTTACTCTTCACAAAATACTCATTCCAAAAAGATATAGTGAGTAGATGGAGTTGTGATGGTAATAGCCTGAATTATACTACATGAGTGAAAGTTCTCTTCAGAATTAGCATGGTATCAGATTTCCACATATGTACATATAATTATGTGTAATATTGTTTTATCATTTTAATGTGGTAGATCTTTGTTCTGTAGCTATCATATGCCAGCCATTATGCTAGGATGTCATAGTTGTCCATCCTATTGGCTTGCCTGGGCCACACTGAGTAAAGAGGAATTGTATTGGACCACATGTAAAATAATGATATAGTTAATGTATGTAAGTAACAAAACCTCTTTTACATTTTAATGTTTTACGAAGGCACATAAAAAAAGGTGGGCATTAGGTTGGACATGCCAAGTACAACATACCAAGAAGAATGAAACATGGTTACATGCATTAAGTTTTGCAGAATAGTATTAGTGGGCATTAGAAGAAAATGTATAAGATATTGTATATAGAGAAAGGAGAGAGAACCTTTTTTTTTTTTTTTTTTTTTTTGAGACAGGGTCTCACTATGTAGTTCAGGCTGGCATTGAATTTACTATGTTGCCCAGGTTGGCCTTGAGCTCATAACAGTCCTCTTGCATCAACCTCCCATGTGCAGGGATTACAGGCATGTGCCGCCATGTCCTGCAACATTTTTTTTTTTTTTTTTTTTTTTTGGTGCCAGGATCAAACTCTGGACCTTGCGCTTGTGAGGCAGCAACAGGTTTAGTAATGGTGCTGAAAGGCATCCTGGGTTATGTAACTTAGCTTTTAGGTAGAAATAGGCATGGTAGAGAGGACAGCATTTATTAAGTGCATATTTAGTAAATGACATGTGCCTGCTACATGCAGACACATTCTAGTATTGGGGAAACAGCAGTGAATTAAACAGACATTCTCTGCTCTCATGATGTTTATATTCTGATTGAAGAGCAGGGCTGAGGAAGGTAAAACATGAATAAAAGCAAGATAAGAGATCGTGATACGAACTATTTCGAACATACTGGCCTTTGAACAAAAACAAAATCATCCTCAATTGTCCGACTTTCCTGATTACAGAGATAGAAGACATTACTTTTTCCTAAAGTGAAGAGCTAAGTTGTATTAATTGTTCAGAATTGATTCGAATAAGTTTAATCCAGATGAGAAATTG